GTGACAGTTTGGTGCTGGAGTTGAGAAGAGTTGGCCCACATCTTATTGATTCTGCCATCCATGCAATCCTAAAGACACACACTCATTTGGCTCCTCAGAATATATTCACAGCTAAACACACTCTGCTTGTGGTTTGCATTCCTGTCTAATTCCTGACGTGCACGCTTCAAAGGATTCCAAATGTTGCTAAGAGCAGTGTACACACAAAATCCTTAAGTACAGTTTGTGCATATGCAGCACTAAGGCTTTATCAGATACTCCGACTAGCCTATTTGAACACTCGTTTGAACTTTAGCCATTTAATAAACGCTTTAGAAAACCAGACTTTCAGTATAGCATAGGCCTATGCAAGACAAAAAGCAGATGCTGCCTTCAGAAATACACCAAGAGGATATTCATAGTGTTGAAGAATGTGTTGGAAGTTTCCATTCCAGTATTTTTGTGGAAACTAATACATTTTGTTTTCTTTGTTGAATAGAAAACTCAAAAGAACAGCATTTATTTGAAATGGAAATCTTTTGTAACATTATGTATTACTGTCACTTTTGATCAATTAAGCATCCTTAACTGGACAGTTAAGTTAAAGGATAACTTTGTGCAAATTTTCTATATTTATGGCGGAAAGGTTGAAAAGCAGAACAAGAAGTAGGCTATGTAGAAAGGCATAAAAATTCTGCTCAAATATAAATATAAAACAGTAAAAATATGTTTTTTGTGATCTTTTGGCTGAGCTGAGGGACAGATTGAACACACCATCATTGGCAGAGATCCAGCGGTGGGTTGAATTGTTTCTGGTGCGCCGATTGAATCCACTGGGCTGGTACATTTATCTGTAGCTCTCAATGTGAGCTGAACTGATGCCAGTGATCTGTGTCCCAGAGGGCCTTTTCAGACCATCAGAAGTCACTGTCCGCTTAGCTGCAGCTGGTGCCCTGAATGCTGCTGTGTGTGTGTGTGTGTGTGTGTGCGTGTGCGTGTGATTAAACAGGTCAAAGAAAAGTGAATAAATCTTTGTCCTTTAGCCTTAACACAGAAATTACATTACCTGTATTTATCAAAATGAGAGTTTTGTTTTGAATGTGTGGGAGTTTTTAGTGAATGTCTTTTAGCATTGAGGTTGTTTATATTTTTGGAGTGTCTATTTACAGTAAGTGTAAATAGCCCGTCTTGTTGGCAGAGGCTATTTACACCAACTCCACCCACAAATGTCTGGTTGGGCCAGACAAAAGTAAAAAAAAAAAAACGCCTGTGACCTGTCAGCATCAGTGGCGTAGGGAGTAAGGTGCATTGCAGATGCTTCTGACGTGATCGACCTGAGTTCAAATCCGCCTTTTGCCAAACTCGTTTTTCTCTCTTTTCCCATCGCATATCAGATTGGAAAGGCATTTATTTTCAATAAATTTGAAGAAAATATGTGACAAGTGGAATTAAAGTGCCTAGCGGTTATTTGACAGTAAAGTATATCGGGTCGTTTTAGGGTGTAGCTAAGTGTAGGGAGGGCTTTATTGTCCCAATAAGGTGGCATTTAAACATTTACACTCATTGGGTCTCATTCATGAAACACGAGCAGAATGCATTTTTGTGTAAATCGTGTGTAAAGTGGTTCTGGCGTAAATTTTCGGATTCATTAAAATGTTCGTATTTTCCAAATGTTAGTTGGTACACAAGAAATCTACACCTGCTCCCAGCCACGCTTAAATAGTGCGCTTAACACCCGAACGTTTTGCTCATTAATAAGGCTGCATTTTAATTCACCTTAATCGGGTACATATTTGCACAGCATTTTGAAAAAATATTATATATAGTAATTACATACGGTTTTTCTTATTATGAGAGCCAGTAATAGCATCTGCGATGCTGGTCCTTCTCCAGTTGGAATACTATTTTTCTGAAGTGAACTAATTCGTTTTTTGCTCTCAAGATTAATGTCGAACCATTTTCTTCTCACTTCTGGGAATGTTCGATTAACAGATGAAACTCCATTAACTGCATCTGTAATATGCTGCCAAGCTTCCTTTTTTTTTAGGACCCGATACGCCACTATGTACGCTTGAAAATAAAATGTGGCGTTTTGAATGAACTTCTGATAATAAAACTTCAATTTCTGCTAGTGCTGGGTTTCGATTCAAATTTCAAGAATCGATTCGATTCCGATTCTCAAGATCTTGAATCGATTATCATTATTCGATTCGATTCGATCCGATCCGATCTTCGAGATTTAGAAAAGTGTTTTTGAAAAAAGCATATTTTTTTTCCAGCTGTTGAATTACAGGACTGTAGTTATGCAACATATTGATACAATTATTATAGACATTTAACTGCAAATTAATGGAGTATTGATGGTTGTAAAGAACAATCCCCCTTCCAGAGTGTTGATACAACTGCTTTCACAAACTTGCACTGGTGTAGACGACAGAGGACGCAGAGGTATATCAGCAGCAGTAACCGCAGAGGATTGCAAGTAACCGCAGCAACCGCGATATTCACGTTTTTTTATAAGGCTATACCCTTCTTGTTTTGAACTTCATGCATGTGTATTGAATGTTAAACAAGTTCATAATGATAACAAACAAGACTGTTTATCGTGGTGATGTGTAGCCTACAGAGGCTTCGCACAGACAGTGAATGAGAGAGATCGGCAGAGCGCGTGTGATTACCTGCGTCTGTCTTTGAAGTCATATGTATTTGTGAAAAAGGTTGCCGTGTCAAAGGAAAGCGAAATATTTGTCGTATCATCCTTTTAACTTTCACGTCACGGGGTATTTACCATAAATGCGCGTCAGCAGCAGCGCTGGTCAGCATTCCACAGCGCGAGGAAGCCGCGGGGAAATGAAATCAGCGAGTCACGCATTGAATCAATGCCATATTGGTCTCTAATAAGTGAAGCATCAGCTTCAGCGTTACCCACGCGACGCATTGCTGCCCAGCTGAGCCTTGAAAAGTGGAACTCAAAGTTAAAAATAATTAACACCTTGTTTCATTACATCTCTTTTAATGAATCAGCTTTTTTGAACGTGTTCGTTGAATGAACGGTTTAATGACTCACTCAAAGCCCGTTGTCGTAACAATGTGCGCGCTGAGTGAAAGCCTTTCAATGCGCATACAGGGATCTCCCAGTCGCGGCAAGTTAAAGTTCACGGGGAAAATGTAAACCTATTAAAATCGATCCTCTGAGTTACGGATCGATCTTTAGAAATTAATATGAAAATCGATTCAGAATTGGTGAATCGATTTTTTCAACACAGCACTAATTTCTGCATCTGAGAATTTTTTTTTTCATTCGCATTCATGTCATAATATGATGCCCATATATAGTTGTCAGTCGGATTTAATGGGCGGGATTTATGGTAATTGAGAATGAACGTGCACGCGCATCCCATTTACGACTGATTGGAATTCATTAACACACACACACATTTCACTATCACATCTGACGTTTACGAAGTATTTGTGAATCAGGAGAAGAGTTTTCGGGAAGGTCTCTTTACGCGCAATCACTCGCATATTTACTCGTATATTTACGAATGTTTCATGAATGAGACCCAATGTGTTTTTATTGCATACTGTTTCATAATGTACTAAAATACTGTGGTGCAAATAGTATCTTACTATTTACACTTATTGCAAAGAAAGTAGGCTACTGCTAATTTAACGTAGTGTAAATAGAATCTATTGCTATTTTCAAAATGTAAATAGCATCTTAGTTCAAATATTTTAGAGTACTCCTAAAAATGATCCTGTTGCACATTTAAAGTTTACAGTTGTTCTCCTCCTAGACCTAAACTATTGATGTGGTAAAGCAAAAAAATTTTTTTAGATGCTATTTAGTGCAGATATAGTGGCAGATTCTATTTGCACCTCAGTGTATTGTTATAATATAAAACAATATGAAATAATAACAAATTATTCAGTTCATATGATTATTTTTTATTAAATTATAAATGGATGTTGCAAAAAAACTCCCCTACACCGACCCATAACCTTACCCGTTAAGCACATTTCCCCCCACTGAAACACTGGTTGAGGATCCAGAAAACACAATAGTCCAAGGCACAGGCAAATAGGGAAATCCAGGGAGACAGGCAGAAGATCAAGACCATGACACGTAAACCAGAAGTAGCACTCAGAAATGCACTGCAATACACACAAGACTTTGCAATGAATGACTGAATAAACGGGGTTTATATAGGCAGAGTTAACAGAGTTAATGATACACAGCTGACAGCAATCAGGGATTATATGTGTGGGCAGTGAGTTCTGGGAAATGTAGTCCATTTATGGCAATGCACTAGAGAGGAGTGGCCTCTGGTGGGTATCAAGGGCACTCCATCTGGTGATGATCGTGACAAAGGGTGAGACAGGTAAAAGTCGGATTTGAAATCAGGTCGGTCATGTCACAAGCTAACGTTACGCGCCTTGCTCTCCACACTACTGCTCTGTTTGTGGGTTTCTTTAGATTTTTTCCCCCTGCTCAATCAGACAATGGTGGGTGGAGTTAGTGTAAACAGCCTCTGGCAACAATTATTTTTTACTTGGTGGAAATAAGCAATGATGATACCATGGAGAGCAAACTCTTGACTGTGTCAGGGTCAAGAAGTCTCTTAAAATATCAGATAATTCACCAAGGCAAGGTTAGTTCATATTGTAAAATGTCATGTGGTGTGACTCCCCAAAAACTTTTAATTGAATTTATAAATTGATAATTTATGATATTTGTTAAGATAGCCGAATGTCAACGTTTCTTGAAAATGGTTGAAAGGTTTTTTTAAAACCACATGAAACCACCATGAACACAAAGGTTACATTTCTATGAACTTGTTTTAAACTAGTTTATTTTGGACCTTTTTTGTGTAATGTTTCATGCATTAACATTGAAAACATTGAATGTAGGTTGTAAAAGTCTGAGATCTTTCTGACTGTAATGATGTGTATTGTGTAAAACTCAGTGATGGTGTGTGTGATTTTTTTTTTTTTTTTTTTGCCTTTCTGCTCCTCTGCAGGTTCAAAGTCCTGCTAGTGATAACGGGGTGAGTCCCAGTTTTTTATTTCCTATGTTATACTTTTCACAGCATGCACAATGCAGTGGACTTTGGAATTAATTACTGGTTTGTTTGCGAGAGCGAGCGAGTGTCTGCTCTTCATGCATTTAAATGATGCGATTCGTTGTGACTGATTGTCAGTCAATTTTTAATGTCTTCATGTGAGAGTGACACCGCTTGACTGGATATTTGTAGACATGCAGTAAAGCTTGTCACTTACTGTTAATTCAAATCTCCATCCACAAGCTTTTGGTCAGCGGTACAGTTGAAGAGATATTGAGATGTTTTAGGCACCAATCTTTGTTTAGTCTAGAGTAGCTGTGAGTCTAAAGAGAGAGGGGACAGCTTGTAGTTTTGGTCATATAGTGAGCTGGAGAAGAGCCAGTGTGAGCAGACGGCGTGACCGGGGGAAACATGCGGCGCTGGAGGACATAGAGCGCCTCTGAGACCTGTGGGGAACCTCAGCATGCTACATGTCTCTATAACCAGAGATTTAAAGGACTGCATGCACGATTCATCACTCTAATAACCAAACACACCCTGCTTAAAAGCCCACAGAGCTCGTGGGAATGTCATCATCCAAGTGTTGGTTAGTCAAATGCTGCGCCTGAGAGGTTTTGCTGGAAATGGTGATTCACAAGAAAGTGTAAACTATTACTAATGCTATTAATAATATATATTTTTTATTTGTTATAGACATAACACATTTTATTTGTTTAGATATAGATTCATTAAAAACCAATCATATTAAAATGATAAATTTTTGTATCTATATCTATTTATATTTATATACCACCAGCCACTTTATTAGGTATACCTGTTCAACTGCTCGTTAACGCAAATATCTAAAATCAGCCAATCATATTGTAGCAACTCAATGCATTTAGGCATGTAGACATGGTCAAGACGATCTGCTGAAGTTCAAATTGAGCACCAGAATGGGAAGGAAAGGTGATTTAGTTGGCTTTATAAAACGGATAATTCCGGTCCTTGATTCTGATTGGTTGGTTCAAAGTCGTTGTAAATTACTCAACAAACACACACCTGTGACCGCATTACATTAGTATTACTGCTCAACTGCATGTGTTGCTTGGCAACCTCTTTGGAACTACATTGCTTGGCGGAGGAATAAATGTGTTATAACGTTATATTTTTTGTTGCTGGTGTTTATTTTATGAATAAAATGAATATTTTTATGGAGTAACCGTTTTATAAAAGCAATAAGCCCCTTGAAGCCGTGTTTTACAGTGAATTTAGAACAGCTAAGGGGGTTTTAGGCACTCCGCTCCGCATCATGCTTAACTCCCCTTAGCTGTTCTAAATTCACTGTAAAACACGGCTTCAAGGGGCTTATTGCTTTATTGAATGTGGCTTCACAGAGAATGGTCTGAAAAAGAAAAAAATCTCCAGTGTGCGCCAGTTCTGTGGGCAAAAGGGCCTTATTGATGCCATAAGTCAGAGGAGAATGACCAAACTGGTGGTTCGAGCTGATAGAAAGACAACACTAACTCAAATAACCACTCATTACTACTGAGGAATGCAGAAGAGCATCTCTGAATACACAACATGTCGAACCTTAAAGCAGATGGGCTACCGTTGCAGAAGACCACACCAGGTGCCACTCTTGTCAGCTAAGAATAGGAAACTGAGGCTACAATTCACATGGGCTCACCAAAATTAGACAATAGAAGACTGGAAAAACATTGCCTGGTCTGATGAGTCTCGATTTCTGCTGCAACATTCAGATGGTGAACATTCAGAACATGAAAACATGGACCCATCCTGCCTTGTATCAATGGTTCAGGCTGCTGGTGGTGTAATGGTGTGTAATATTTTCTTGGCACACTTTGGGCCCCTTAGTACCAATTGAGCATTGTTTAAATGCCACAGCCTACCTGAGTAGTGTTGCTGACCAGAAAAAAGGGGGTCCAACCACTGATCTATACAAATGACTGGATTGCTCATGACATACTTAAAACTGAAGCCACCGTACCACAACATTGGTATTCCCTATGGTCTTAACAGCTTTGTGAATAGATTTGAAGAGAAAACTCTTAACTAAGAAGTTTTACTGCTATTTAGGAGAACTCTTAGTGGTAAGATAAAATGTTTTGTGAATATGGCCCCTGATGTATATGTACATAGACCAGATGGATTGCGAGAAAGCTTACAATGTGAATGATCTCCAAATCATATAGTCAAATGATGTCTTGCATATTATTTCTATAAAGTGTATTAAAACAAAGAAGGCTATAAACAGGTGTCACGGTAGGCTGTGCAAGGAAGAACATGACGAAGAAGGAGAATATCTTTAATCCAACCATAACAGCAAAGCCCAGGAAACAACCTCTTAACATTGAAGACACCGAACACTGAACTGAAGGAAGTCAGGGCCTAAATACACAAGCTAATTACTTGGGCAACAGGTGAACGAAATAATCAATCAAGGGAACAAACTGGCACACAGGCAAACAGGCACAGAACTATGTTTACGCAACAATGACATGCTTAAAACAGAGAAGTTTTTCCTTTGAGTTTTCCTCGTACAGATGACACCATTGTCAAAACGATCCCCATTCACACGGATCTGCGAAAACGACTAAAAACTGTAATCACGTTTTTGTTGTTTACACAGAGACTGTTTTTTTTTTTTTAAACTAGGATCTTAAAAAAAATTAACTTTTCAGGCACCCAAAATGCCATTGTCGTGTAAATGAACGGCCAAAACGCATAAAAAGTTTTACGTTTTTAGTTGAAAATGGTGTCATGTAAACAGCCCCTAATGCACAATGAAACATATCCAAAACATAACAGAATAAAATATAACCGTTAAAACTGGAAACAGACCAATCAGGTCTGACTTTTTTTTAATGGGTCTTTAAAGGAGTCATGTCATGAGGAATCATTTTCATATATTTTTTTTAGCTTATTGTACTATGAAAATATACAGTAACTTTCAGAGCTCAAATATTCCTTACCAGTTCAAAAGAGCTGAAAAGACATCTGACATTAGAAATAATAATAAATGCCCTATACCTCCTACATTTGCACATCAGCAATGCCTAAAGGAGAAACTTGGCCCAGCTTTAAAAAGAGGCTGATATTTAAGGATGAATCAGTTAAAGGAACAGGAGCCAAAACAGCCTCTTTATCTAAGGCCCTGTTTACACCTGGTATTAAGATGCGTTTCGGTCGATCGGATCACAAATAGAGGAGAGAGACACATTCCCGTTTACACCTGGTGTTTTAATCCTTCTCTTTCTCTTTTACTTTCAACCACTTCTATTCAGATTTTTTTGAGGAGTGGGTTTATAGACAGGTAAATGTATGTTTTTTCAGATCTTTTGATATCATAGACAAAATAAGCTTGTGTAATTTGTGCATGGAGAGGACTGAAGAACATACAGAGAGCTTTTATTTCAGCTCTGATAGCCACTAGACCATGCAGAAAGTTGTGAGTATATGTTAGAAATCATGGTGAGAGAACATTGGGCTTGGTATGTTTTTCATTTTCAAGTCAAACTTTTAAGTTTAATAAGCCAAAGTTTAATTCCCATCTGACTAGCGAGCTTCTCATAATGTTTACGTGTTAGTTCAGTAGGTGGAGAATATGCGGTCTTTTGTGGCTGTTAGAACACATTCAACCACATGACCCAGCAATATCCCGCATTTCACCGTCTAGGTTTACTATACACACCATACTATAGTCCATCTATGAGTAACCCACTTCTAGCCAAAATAAGCTTGAATTTGGTTACATGTCGTTTTTGCCCAAATAACTTGCAAGATGTATGATATTCTATCATGTAAGCAAAGTCAACAGTGATTACAAGGTGTTTGGTTTTATTTCTTTGACATGTTTTATGCGTACCCTGTGCTATTCTTGGGCTATGGTTAGACGTCTATTCAATTTTCACTGACAGCCCGAATTTTAACTTGTTTTCGCGCTGTGTTTGTACGGCTTTTAGACGTCTTTTTGGGAGCTCCGTTTACACTACGAAAGCAATCCTGTCAAATGCTTTTTCAACTACCTCTAGAAATGGTCGAACGTGGACAATCTCAAAACATTTTAGAGCCCGTTTACACCTGAATTTAGTGTCGTCCACGTGATCTGATCGACCAAAACGCAAAACGAATTGTGACTATTTTTGACTAAAAGAATATCTATCTAACTGAATCTTTTCGATTTAAATCAAATTCCGGAATTGAATTTTATTTCAATTCAATTATCAGGGGTGCACAACCCTTGTTGTAACATTTGAAAAATGGAAAAGGAAAAAAATGGTTTTGCCTGTAGCATTTAGATGTTTGCTTGTTTTGTAGACAAAATCTTAAAATTGATTCTGATAGGACAAATAACTCTAATTTTATAGACATCTAGCTTTAATTGGCTCCTAAAAAATTAAACAGCAGTCTGTGTCTCTAAAAAGGTTAAGAAGGAAACACTACATTTCCCATCATGCATTAGACAGCATGTTGATGTTTTAGCTGGAATACTGAGAGGAGGGAGCTCACGAGCTGTGCACACACCATTCAAAACACTCACACGCAGAGCGTGAATCACAGATCACACGCGCTCATACAGCCCGAGCTCAGATACCAGTCCACGCAGCCGGTGATGTCAGCACTCTAATCGCCACTCTGATTGGTGGAGGGACGTCTGTCAAACATAGGCTGCACGTCTCGATCTCAACAGTTGGACAACACAGCCCGGCGAACAGGGTTACTGCCGTGTCAGAAGGGTTAGTGTGGCGAGAGGTGCGCAGAGGAACCTCAGCTGCTGTCTGGTGCATCCTCTCCGCAAATTTCCTCACATTGGGATAAGGGACAGTCGTCGGGACTCGCTGCAGACAGCATGCAGCACAGATCCTCTGAAAATACTGGCTTTAACTGTCAGGTAGGATGGAGCCTGAGTGTCTCTCCTGTGTCCTTGAGAGTGTTTGCGTGTGTCTGTAGAGACGTGGTTGATTCAGCGTTGAGTTATTGTT